GCACACGACACTCCTCAACACTCTCACACACCTAAAACTTCAATCTATCAATATTTATCAATAATTAAACCCTTGGAGGAGCTAAGTATCATTTTTATGAAATGGAATCAGAGACCACCCAAATTCGACGAAAAAGCGAAACGACCGCGCAAAAAGACATCTGCAAGTGCAGATGAGTTTACCTACCTTTAATCTAAGTGCACAGGATGCACAGAAAGAAATATATTCCCTTCCCATTTTGTCTTTACAAGAAAAGGGTGGGAAGGGGAAAGCGGACTAAAGTTAGGTCCTTGACCCATACACACTTATCAGACACATGATGGTTGAGTGGTAAGGTGGTTATAACAGTGGTAGAGCCCGCTTTAACATCTTCGCACGAATTGGCCCGGCTCCCCCGGTGAAATACCACGACCACACAGAAGACAGGCGTGAAGTGGAAGCTATTCCGCGTTTCGTTTGATGAGTGTGCGTCCCGGAGGCCTCATATAGTTCTCTTTGCCTTCCCACCCTCTTTCTTATAAGGAAAGGATGGGAAGTGGAAATGGACTTTCCGGATGAGAGGACGCATGGAAAGGGAAATATTTTCCCTTTCTGTGTATTCTCTCCTCCGTAGATTAAAGGAAGGCAACGCATATGCAATTGCGTATGTCTATGGGTAACGGTCACCTCGCTATTTTAGCGATTTCAGATGGCCGCTTGCTCGTTTGCCACCTTATGATATAAAAAAAAAATGGTGATCAAATCCGACCATTTATGAAATAGACAATGTTGCTTATGACTATCTTTGTTCAATAAAAATTTAAGTACATACAATTAAACATCAATCAAAACAATATGTAATCATATTTTATATAGTATATAATTATATATATTACATAGTGGCATTCAATGAAAATAAAGACATGAAGTTATTACTACACTTTTGGTAAGTATCAAGATTTTATAAAAATTCTGTGTTGACTGAAAGTATCAATGTTTTTATTTAAGCTTTATCCAATACTTGAGGTGTAATTGCTATTTCACTGGCAAGCCTAGGTTCAAGTGTAATTATAACTAAGCACCTAGGAATACAGTACAAAACCATTCTTTGAAATAAAATTTTATATCTGATAATTATCTCATTACATATATTCTAATTACGAGCACCACTGTCTCAGGAGTTGAGCACTTGACATGTTATCTGCAAGTGTTGGGATAGAATCCTACCATATACCAATATGTTTTTTAATTTTCGAATTTTATATTTACATTTATCCAATGTTGTTATAGTGAAGAAAAACATTGTCATGCAATCTGCACATAGGAGAAGAAATTCAAAGATATGTCTGAAGTCAACCAACCCGTACTGGTCCAGCATGGTAGACTTCGGCTGGTTTGTATCCTACTTGGCTTTACTCCCATTTGCAAATTAAAATCACTGCAAATGGAGCCTCATTTATAAAAATAATTAAATCCCTTACATTAAAAAAAATATAATAATATCAGAACTATACTAACCTGTGTGTGCATAGGAAATGGGCACTTTCCATATCGAGACCTGTGAGAACATGGTGGTAAAAAACTTTGCAAAGGCAAGGGGCACAAGCGTCCGCCAGTAGTAGCGACGCGGGAAGGGCGGCTCGGGCCGCACGCCACACAGCGCGAAAGCGGGTGCGCTGTACGCCACAACCGACAGCAGCTGCACCATCGTCACCGTTAGCGGGAACGGGAACTCGGTCATCGCCAGCTTGCCCACCACGTTGCTGGCCGAGCTGAGCGCGTACCATGCGACACACAGTGCCACCACGGTCGCGGCCTCACGTCGTCCGCCCGGGTACCCCATTCTTCTTACTATTTACTTGCTTTTAATGGCTAATCTTCTATCACAATACTGTTCGATTCTTCTTAGTAACTTTCTATCAATTTCAATAAAATACATCTTAACATATAATTAACTTCTTAGTAAGGATAAATTATGTTAATGATAAATACGTTACTACAATTGTTTTCCTACATATCATAAATATAATAAGATGATAGAAACTTGGGCGGGAGTATTAGAACGCATTTTATTTAGACAGTAATTTTGCTAATATACTATCAAAATGTCAATTCGTACTAAACTGCACTGGTTGGCAATTGGCATTTTGAATGTGATAAGACATTGACACATGAAAGCGAAACCAATGTAGAATTGTAACGTCAGACGCACAGCGCACCGCGCATGTGCGCACGTCACCATTTTGCCCAAAGGGTATATAAAATATTTTGCCTATAAACCTATGTACTCTTTGGTAAAATTGTAGACGAAGGACGAAGGTGTGTAAAACAGTTAATAGGTATTTAGTTTAATTTTTAGTTTGGTTTAGTTTTAGTATATAGTTTATTTGATATAAGTAAAAATTATTAGATTATGCCATAGTTTTAAAATATATTAATTATTTATATAAGTAAATAACTCATTAGTTGCCCGGTTTTACTAAATCAAAAGTAATTCTGTATAAACGTGTATTATATATAACTTCCGAGAAAATTTATTTGAAGTGATATTTGAATTCGTATTTAGGTTTAGGTCTTGATTAGGTGCTGTTATAGTCTGTATTTTGGACTGTGACATTGTATACCAAAGAGTATATAAAAAGATTGTTGTCTATTGTACTTGTCATTTTGTCATTGTTAAGCACAACAGAGAAAGTTTTACTGGGCACTTTACATTATTTTATAAAAAAAATATAAACGGCGCATACTTTCAGACACTCGAGCAACTGATTAATAAAAGTTTATTTAAGTGCATGTTAAAATCGGTTTCATAATTAAGTGATGTTCTAAAAGTTTTCTGTTTATCAAAAGTAAAACTTATCTTCTGATATATTCAATAATATGAGTTTCTACAGATACTGCCTTATCAGCTGATCCTTAGGAATCACAAGGCAAGTGAATACTATTTTTTATATTTGTTTTTAAGTCCTCCTCAATAAATTAGTACTTTATTAATAGGCATGAACATGTATTTATAATCATCTCTTTGGACCTTTTCCACTATATTTGTGGTTAAACGTATGCCGCAAAAATAATGAAGTGGTGGCCTCTGTCCATAGACACCTGTAGTAGGTTAGAATATGACTGGTTATTGAGTTGGTTAGAACATTGGAATTGTTTGTACCATATTCATTGTGTGACTCCACAAACCTGTGTTAGTATTATGTATATTAATGCTACAGTTACTCTTGTTCCAGCCATCGTTTTAATTGTCCAACAGCTTAATCTGTACAATGTGACAAATAACAATGACTGTAAAATTTCACAATTGTTTAAACATAATTAGTATCTTGTACATTTAGTACTGAAACCTGTAATCAAAATACAATACCATAACCAAATACTTAATTTCTTATGTCAAGATTATTATCGCTATCCCATCTTAAATTGAGTATTTCAAGAATCTTAGTGGAGTGTAACATCACATGAGTTGTAGTGCAGAACTCAATTTTAGATGTAATGGGGTATAAAACAATGCAGTGGACAGTAACACATAGAGGATTGCTGTTCTTATGCCACTAAGATATTTAAATGACTATACTATGAAAGACATCTGATGCAATGGAATTAGGGTATGAAACTGCATAGATCCCCAAAAAACATCACAAAGTTGCCAATGGAAACAAACATACTGATATAGTAGGGGCAAAGGCAATTAAATTGTAAAAATATTTAAATAAAATGGAAGCAGGACACTAATAATCAAATCATATTTTCTAAAAGATGTACTATGGGTACTATTATTTTTTTGACATAACTGTTGGCAGTGACTCTGTCCGCGCGGGATTAAAAAAACGTAATATGCCTATATCTTCTTTCAGACTATTTTATATATCCAAGCCAAATTTCAGCAAGATCTATTTAGCTATTCCGTAGATACCTTCAAAAAAACATTCATTCATCCATCCATCCATTGGCATGTATAATATTAGTAAGATAAGATATTGAGATGTTAGATATATTTTATTAGTTACTTTTACCATTTACTAATACATAGCTTAATATATGTAATAGACCGTTTACATAATATCCACTCTTTAACTATGTAGTATATAGTTTTACAGAATAATCACACTAATCCACCACTATTAAACACTGGAGGGTGCTGGATTGTAAACTTGAAAAACTAAGATTTGAGGTTAGCAACCCAAACGCACATATACATAGGGGCGATGGAGACGTAGGCAGAGGGTACCGGATTATTGGATGTGCCAATCTATCAAAGTGCTGGATTAGTTAGATTGTACTTTATATTTAAAGTTTATTCAAACTCTTAGCAAAGTGTATATATAATTTATTGACCAAAACATAAAGGTTGTAGAATTTATCACTTAAATATATAAAATATTTAAACCTTGAAAAGTCAGAATTTTCTTTTTTCTTTGCCACCAGGACTAATAACTAAAATATTTTGATACGATTTTCGTGTTTTGGTACTAAAGTTATTTTCTTATGGTACGGTATTGAGACTAAACTCGAGATGTATGGTGGCAGTGTGTGTGTGCGGGGCGCGGGGCGCGGGGCGCTGCGCCTGCGGTGATGCGGTCATGGCGTCGCGGCGCGTGACGCGCAAGTGGGAGGTGTTCGCGGGGCGCAATCGCTTCTGGTGCGACGGGCGGCTGATGACGGCGCCCCAGCCCGGAGTGTTCGCGCTCACGCTGGCGCTCATCTGCGGCACGTGCGCGTTGCACTTCGCCTTCGACTGTCCCTTCCTGGCGGCGCGCGTGTCGGGCGCGGTGCCGGCGCTGGGCGCGGCGCTGTGCGGCGCCACGCTGGCCGCGCTGTTGCGCACGGCGCTCAGCGACCCCGGCATCATACCGCGCGCCGCGCCAGCCGAGGCGGCCGCGCTGGAGCCGCCCGACGCCGGTCGGCCGCCGCCGCGCGCGCGCGAAGTGCTCGTGCGCGGCCGCCCCGTCAAGCTCAAGTACTGCTTCACGTGCAAGATGTTCCGCCCGCCGCGCGCATCGCATTGCTCGCTGTGCGACAACTGCGTGGATCGCTTCGACCACCATTGCCCCTGGGTGGGCAACTGCGTGGGCAAGCGCAACTACCGCTACTTCTACGCATTCGTGGTGTCGCTGTCGTTCCTGGCGGTGTTCGTGTTCGCGTGCGCGGTGGCGCACCTGGCGCTGCTGGCGCGCGGCGCGGGCCTGGCCGCCGCCCTGCGCGCCTCGCCCGCCTCCGCGCTCGTGGCCGCCGTTTGCTTCCTGTCCGTGTGGTCCGTGCTGGGCCTGGCCGGCTTCCACACCTACCTCGCTTCCACCGACCAGACCACCAACGAGGACGTCAGTTTACATCTTACATCTACATTTCTCTCTATTTCGTATTTATATTAGTGAAAACCTACTTCGAAACACACTTCCGTGATTAT